TTCAGGTTAGTAACGCGGTTGTTGAGTGAATCTGGCTTCCCCGTTCATTTTGCTTGTCAAAAGCTCATCACATGACCGCAGGACACTGCAGCTGTCATAAACATGTCATTTGCCAAGGGCCTTTAATTCTGATCATGTGACCATGGGGATGTTGCCATGGCCATTAAATGTGGGGAAAAAAGCCGTTTTCAGTGCCGTCATAACTGACAAAAGCCGTCAATGGAAAAAGCCCAATTCACATAACAACCGTCCTACTATGAATTGCAGTGTCTCAAGCCTGAATTTGATTCACTTAACAACACTGTCAAAAAGGTCGTAAAATGAGGCACAACTCACTTAACGATTGTCTTGCTTAGCGATGGAAATTTTGGGCTCTATTGCGGTCCTCAGTGAAAGACTAACTAAACAGATTAACAGAGTTGGAAGGGTGATCTAGCCCAGGAGGGAGAGCGGGGGGGGGGGGGTTGTGGCGCGTGCATGTGCCCACAGCCATAATTCTATATGCCCCACCCCCGCGCATCTGACCCCCCCTCCCCGCACTCCTGGCACACGATAGCCCGGTAGGCCCGTGTTTTGTTGTTGTTGTTGTTGTTGTTGTTGTTGTTGTTGTTGTTGTTTTATATGCCCCCCTTCTCCGGAGACTCAGGGCGGCTTACAAGGCGTTAAGCAATAGCCGTCATACTTTTGTATATTTATACAAAGTCAGCTTATTGCCCCCACAAACCGGGTCCTCATTTTACCTACCTCGGAAGGATGGAAGGCTGAGTCGACCTTGAGCCTGGTGAGAATTGAACTCGCAGTAATTGCAGGCAGCTGGAAGCTAAATACTACCTTTAACAGTAGCATTAGTCTGCTGCGCCACTCAGGTTTTTCTTTCTCACCTGACTCCAGGGCCTCTCTAGGAGTCTGGGGCGGGCCAAAACCGCCTTCCCCACTCCACCCCACCCCAGCCCCCCCAGGCCCTGTGGAAATAGGAAACAGCCTGTTTCCCTACTTCTGGTGGGCCCAGAAGACCTGAAAATTAGCTGGCCGGCGCTCACATGCGCACCAGAGCTGAGCTCACGTGCCCACTGATATGGCTACACGTGCCACAGCTATAGGTTCGCCATCATGGCCCTATACCCGTAATGGCGAACCTATGGCACGGGTGCCACAGGTGGCACGCGGAGCCGTATCTGTGGGCATGCAAGTGTTGCCCTAGCTCAGCTCCAGCACGCATGCGCACGCCGGCCACCTGATTTTCGGCCCTTCTGGGCCCACCGGAAATCAGGAAAGAGGCTGTTTCCAGCCTCCAGAGGGCCTTCGGAGGGATGGGGAAGGCAGTTTTCACCCTCCCCTGGCTCCTAGAAAGCCTCTGGAGCCTGGGGAGGGTGAAAAACCGGCCTACCAGGCCCAGCGTGCCAAAAGCGGGGGGAGTGCAGGGAGGGGGGTCACACATGTGTGGGGAGACAGGGCGCATTGAATTATGGTTGTGGGCACACACGTGCACACACCCCCCGCACTCCCCCCACTTTTGGCACGCGACGGCAAAAAAGGTTAGCCATCACTGCCCTATACCATTTCTGAACCTATAATATCATTCTTCACCAAATCGCACCAGCGTCCTTAAGAATTTTAAAAAGGATGAAGGGTTTGGTGCCAGCTTTTTTGTAAGCATTTCTGCCTGGGAGGGGGGGAAAAAAAAAAAAGCCAGAATTAAGCTGTGAGGGGTGGAAGAGGGAACATCTAAAGGGCACCGAGGAGAGAGAGTGGAAACCAATCTGGTCTTCTGAAATAAATGAAATAAGTTGCCGTAGCAGCCATTTTATGAGAGGATGCTACATATGCTCACAAAACCCTCCCAAAGGATCTCTCAGAAACGCCCATCCTTTAAAAGTCACTATTAAGGATAAAGAAGAAACAGAATATTTTTTTTTTTTTTTTTTTTTATATGGGATGTATTTTATCAATGGCTAGGCAACAGAAACAGAAGTTAGAAAAGAGGAGGCATAAAAAGAGGAAATGTCAATGTGGAGTAGTTGTTAAAGAAGATAACCTTGAGTATTATTATTATATTATCAATATTATTGTGATGAATACTATAACACGTATGTGGATTATGACTGTTTAAAAACAACTAGACCCAGATCACACAGTGTTTGATGGAAATCGAATGTTATATAAATAAAATAAATAAAACATGGGGGAAAAAAGAAAATAAAGAAATCCCCATCCTTATGCTTACTTAGAAAACCTCCGCAGAGTCTTCCTTGCAACTGCCCCAGAAGTCTGTCCGTTGAGGATGGGATGAATCCCTGATCTGATATAATAAGGCATTATTCTCTTTTTTTTTTCCAAACATAACGGGAATCGCTCACCCCCAGGCCCGGAATCAATTACAAGATCCGAAGGGAGACATCTCCGCGTTATTTTCCTCTTATTCTATCAATCACCTAAGTGTTATTACTACTAAATAATTCACAAAATTAAGACGTCAATTGGCACGGCCCCTTCATCAGCACTACAATCTAAAGCTTTAAAAAGGCGTTTCGGAGAAAAAGACGGCCCCGCTAATTATTACAACAGCAAGGAGGTTGAAAGAACAGCTAGGCATTGTTTGCGGGTTCAAATTCTTGTTCCAATAGCAAAAATACACAAATTGCCGCCTGCAAAGCTGAAAGTTCAGGTTCTCAGAACCCACCAAAAATTTTGTCAGTTCCTTAGAATGTAGAAACTCTAAATTTTACTGGTAAACAGGTGTTTGAACCTTGTATATATGGCCTATAGCCGTGATGGCGAACCTATGGCACGCATGCCCAAAGCGGCACACGGAACTATGTCACCTGGCACGCATGGTGTCGCCCGTTCTTCTTCCGGGTTTCGGGCGGGCATGCGCGCGTGATGATCAGATGACCTTTTTGCATGCGGCAGTGCCAGAAACTACAATAGCTAGTCTTCCATTTTTCTGCGTGAGCATGCACGCCAGCCAGCTGATCATCATGTGCACATGCGCGCCAGAAACCCGGAAGAGAAGCTCGCTGAAACCGGAAGTTCAGTAGCTGAAACCGGAAGTTCAGTAGCTGAAACCGGAAGTTCGTTTTCAGGCTCGTGCATGCACCCTGGGCAGCTCCTTTTCCGGTTTGTGGCTCAGACGCATGCAGGCGTGCGAGCTCCCTTTTCGGCACTCGATGCCGAAAAGGTTCGCCATCATTGGCCTATAGGTTAATCAATCAATCAATCAATAATAATAATCATGTGGAAACTCTAAATGCGACTGAAGGTGAAATAATTAAATGCATCGGGAAAAATATACAGACTTAAAACAGTTCGCTTAGTGACCATTTGAAGTTACAAGGGCACTGAAAAAAAGTGGCTTAGGACTGTTTTTCAACTTACGACCGTTGCAGCATCCTCATGGGTCACATGATCATATTTCAGACGCTTAATGACTGACTCATATTTATGACAGTGGCAATGTCCTGGAGTTACACGATTCCCTTTTGTGACCTTCTGACAAGCCCGATTCACTTAACCACCATGTTAGTTAGTTAGTTAGTTAGTTAGTTAGTTAGTTAGTTAGTTAGTGGTTCAATTTATATGCCACCCTTCTCCGGAGACTCAGGGCGGCTTACAATGCGTTAAGCAACAGCCTTCATACTTTTGTATATACCTGCTTAGTAGGGCTTTCGGGCCCCCCTAAGCGGTGTTTTTTTTTATACAAAGTCAGTTTATTGCCCCCACAATCCGGGTCCTCATTTTACCTACCTTGAAAGGACGGAAGGCTGAGTCGACCTTGAGCCTGGTGAGATTTGAACTTGCAGTAACTGCAGATAGCTGGTGTTACTTAAAGCACTTAACAGTGCTTTAGTCTGCTGCGCCACCAAGCCTCAATTACCTTAAGAACTGCGGTGATTCACTTAACAACTGTGGCGAGAAAAGTCGTAAAATGGGGCAAAGCTCACTTAACGAATGACTCGGTTAGCAACAAAAAAAACAAAAACCTGGGGCTCAACTGGGATCATAAGTCGAGGACTATCTGTAATGCAATTGTACTGATATTTAAAAACAAGGATGCGCGCTACTGATATGTAGAAAAACAAAAAAATAAACAAGGATGCCCGGGATATGATACCACTCGTCCTCCATTACAAGATGAAAGGATACCAACTGATAAAAACAACCTACCATTATACAGCACTGAGACAGACAGAAAGGAGGGAGAAAAAAAATCAGAATCAGCAAAGCAAGGAACGTAATTTTACAAGCAGAACAGGTTGCGGTTTAATCACACTGAAAATTCAGTCTCTTGAAATACTCAGATTTTACGCTAAAGTTTAGGAACCCCGATTGCCACAGCGGAACAAAGAAACATAAGGTACTGCCTTAGACCAAGTTAAATCAATCGTCCAACAGGTTCAGGGGGGACGGGGTCTTTGCACCATACAAATAACACCCACCCACCCACCCACCCAATAACTTGTAGATTACAAAGCACAAGAGCCAGTGGCTTGAACGGCAGCAGAATTCTGATTGCAACCCAGTAAATTCTGGCAGAATTCTGGGATCAAACTCAGATTGTATTATACGGAAATGTGCAGTTTATTACTGAGTTAAAGCCCTCCCCCTTAAAGATTCAGCTAAAGGAAACCCAAAAAGTAAACAGGGAATCGTCTACCCTCTATAAATCGAGATTACTGCAGTATTGTCCTTCAAATATAACACCAGCTTTTTCAGTAAATAAACAAGCCAAGGTATAGAAGTCTTTCAACAGTGCCTCCGCCGAAAACAATGACATGCACAAAGAGAACGCCAGTAACGGAAACATCGAAGCACTTAAGCATTCAATGCAGAAGGCAAGCTTCTACTCTTTGAGCAAATAAGGGCCTTTCTCCCCATTCCTGGCAGCCTTTCGCCAAACGAGAAAATGTGCATGTTTACTAGGGCATAGAAACATAAAGCATTGCAAGATACACGCGCTTCTTCAATTAAGTGAACATACGTTTGTCACGTATGGCCCTGACCTGTATATCTGTGTCTTTTACAGGCTCTAGCGGTTCGAATGTTGTCGCAGCGCTCAAGCTTTCCAAGCGCTGAGATATGTGGGATATATCGAGCCCTCTGGATCCAAGGAGAACTGATCTGGAAGACAGATTTTAAAAAAAAGAGAGGATGAAAGGCACAGAGAGAATAAAACAAGGCAACAGAGTCATTTCTTCCCAAAGCAAAATTTAAATCCGGAGGCCTGATTAGCATAAGGCAAGTAGCCCTTGACTTACAAACATTCGAAGTGGTAATGGCATTGAAAAGTGTGACATGACCGGTCCTCGCATTTATGACCGCTGCAGCATCCCCAGGGTCACATTTATTTATTTATTTATTTATTTAATTTATATACCGCCCTATTCCCGAAGGACGGTGAACAGCCAAACAGTAAAAAACATAGATACAAAATTTAAAAACAAAGTAAAATCGAATTAAACAAATTTGGCCCAAACATATTAAAACCCCAATTATTTAAAAACCAATTAAAATTTGCGTAATTTAAAAAGAGGGAAAAGATTAGGCCAGGCCCGCCTGGTGGAATAAAAAGGTCTTAAGAGCGCGGCGGAAGGTGCGCAGATCCGGGATCCTCCGTATCTCCGGGGGGAGCTCGTTCCAGATAGTAGGTGCCCCCACAGAGAAGCACATGATAGCAATAGCAATAGCACTTAAGACTTATATACCTCTTCATAGTGCTTTTACAGCCCTCTCTAAGCAGTTTACAGAGTCAGCCTGTTGCCCCCCAACAATCTGACTCCTCGTTTTACCGACCTCGGAAGGATGGAAGGCTGAGTCAACCTTGAGCCGGTGAGATTCGATCTGCTGAACTGCAGCTAGCAGTCAGCTGAAGTAGCCTGCAGTGCTGCACTCTAACCACTGGGCCACCTCAGCTCTCTACGCTTAGACTTCTATACCGCTTCACAGTGTTTTCCAGCCCTCTCTAAGCGGTTTACAGAGTCAGCCTTTTGCCTCCAACAATCTGGGTCCACATTTTACCCACCTCGGAAGGATGGAAGGCTGAGTCCACCTTGGGCCTGGTGAGATTCGAACTGTCAAATTGCAGGCAGCCGGCAGGCAGCAGAAGTAGCCTGCAGTACTGCACTCTAACCACTGTGCCACCGAGGCTCTTATGATCAAAATTGGGGCACGTATATTTAGGACAGCTGCAGCATCCCGGGGTCATGCGATCATATATGCAACCGTAGTTCCCAGCCAGCTTCCAACAAGCACAATCAATCGAGTGAAGTCGGAGTCACTTAACAACTGGATGTATCATTTAACAACAGTAGCGATTCACTTAACAACCTTGGCAAAAAGGTGGTACAATTGGGTGTGACTCACTTAACAACCGCCTGGCTTAGCAACCAAAACTCTGTCCCCAATTGTGGCCATAAGTAGAAAAACTATCTGCACTATAGTTTTTGATCTCGGAACTTCTACAAACCGTGGATTGAAATAAACATTTCAATAAACAACTTTTGCTTGCAGGACCATCAAGCCACAAAACCCTCAGTTGAGGAGAACAAGTGTTGATAAGACTTCTAAAATATTTTTCAACATCTGCTGATTGACAGCCTGCACATGTTCCCAAAAACGTGACCACATTTGAGTCTGACACAACATGCCTGCCAATGTTTCAACAGCCATCTCTCTTTTTTTCTTTTTTTTTTTTGGCATTTTTCTTCTACTGATTCTCATTCGGTCTGATGAAAGAAAATCTGCTTTAGAAATTATTTCAATCAGGAGAGAAATTTCCAAGAAATTCCCCGGAGGGAAATTCGTTGCTCTTTCGCCAATGAATGCCAACCAGGCAAAAAGGATATAAACTGAGATAAATAGTGAGGAATGATGTAGAAGAGAGAGTTGGGGACGACAGGGAAAAAAATAAAAGTTGAACACAGCAGAAATGGTACACAGCAGTGGTGGGTTGCTCCCGGTTCGCACCGGTTCGGAAGAACCGGTAGTAAAAATTTGTAGTAGTTCCGAGAACTGTTAATAACATTGGCTGGCCACGCCCCCGAACAGGTCCCACCCACCTCATCAGAGGCTTTCTTTTTTTTTTACTTTTAAAAGCATTTTTTCTACAACCTCTTCCTCCGAAAAAATGCTTTTAAAAGTAAAAAAAAAAGCCTCTGATGATCGTGCGGCTCAACTGGGATCGTCAGAGGCTTTTCAAAGCATTTTTTCTACAACCTCTTCGAAGAGGTGGTTAAAAAAAATGCTTTGAAAAGCCTCTGATGATCTCAGCTGCGTTGCCTGATCAGCAGAGGCTTTTCAAAGCATTATTTTCTGCAATTTCTTAAGGTTGTAGAAAAAATGCTTTTAAAAGAAAAAGGAAAAAAATCTTGGCCACGCCCACCCAGCTACATTACCCCCCCAGCAAGCCACGCCCACAAAATAAGCCACGCCCACAGAACTGGTAGTAAAAAAATTTAGAACCCACCCCTGGTACACAGGTAGTCCTCGAGTTACGATCACAATTGAGCCCAAAATCTATACTGCGAAGTTTGTTTGTTTGTTACATGAGTTTCCCATTTTACAACCTTCTTGCACAGTTAAGTGAACCATTACACTTGTTAAGTTAGTAACACGGTTGTTAAGTGAATCTGGCTTCCCCACTGACTTTGCTCGTCGGACGGTCGCAAAAGGGGATCATGTGACCCTGGGACACTGCGACTTGTCATAAATATGAACCAGCTGTCAAGCGTCTGAAGTTTAAATCACATGACCATGGGAATGCTGCAACGGTCATAAGTGTGAAAAACAGTCATAAGTCACTTTTTTCAGTGCTGCTCTAACTTTGAATAGTCACTAAATGAACTAGAATAGAATAACAGAGTTGGAAGTGATCTTGGAGGTCTTCTAGTCCAACCCCCTGCTTAGGCAGGAAACCCTACACCACTTCAGACAAATGGTTATCCAACATCTTCTTAAAAACTTAAAAACTACAAGTGTTGGAGCATTCACAACTTCTGGAGGCAAGTTGTTCCACTGATTAATTGTTGTCTTACTTTCCTACAAAGAGCCCAAGAGCCGTTGCTGCTCTTTTAAGCTTTCTGGGAGGGGCCAATCATCTCCTGGCCTTACTCCAGAGTCGTCCTTTTTGCTTTAGCTGCTCCTGCCTTCTGGCAGCTCTTCTCATACCTGCACTTGGAACAGGCTCCTCCTGTTCCTCTGCCTCTCTACTGTCAGCCTCTGGAGGCTCCGAAGTCCGCACATCACTCCCTGATGGCCCTGGCCCCATCTCTGCCTCCGACGCAGAGCCCTCGTCCGGGCCTTCCCCTGACTCCAGGACTGGCCCATTGTCATCCCCAGCCTCCTCACTGTCTGACTCCGCTGCCAGCTCCGCAGGCTGCTGGTGGACCACAACACTTAGCACCCCATGGGTCGGTTTGACACCCCTGTCCTAGACCCTTCCCCAGGCTTTGCTCTCCACCACCCTAGCAGCCACCGACAGAGGTTTTAAGCAACCCGGGGACTTACGCCTTGACGTCTGCTGTTTCTTGTGAAGTGCGGGTCAGGGTCCGGGACCGCAAGCGCTCCCCTGCCTGTTGGATCTCCTGGAGATTGCGTTCGACGTGAGGAAGCTCCGCGATACCTTCTGTCTCGGCTGCCAGCTGCTCTGCCTGCTGCAGCAGCTCGCCAAACCCTTCTGCATCCATCTGCAGGCCTGGATGCGATGCGGAATGCCTAGAGAGGCAAGCAGGAAGAATAGAAGTTATAATCAAGTCAAGTCAGACTGATCTACTCCACCTTTTCTGATTGCAGGTAGTCCCCGATTCATGACAATTGGGACCAGAGTTTCCACTGCCAACTAAGCAAGGGAAATGTTGTGCCCAATCTTATGATCTTTCCCCCCATAGTTGTCATAGCTCATCCCTACTCCTTCTCTTCATTAGGCTAGATCAGCGGTCGGCAAACTCATTAGTCAACAGAGCCAAATACCAATAGTACAACGATTGAAATTTCTTTTGAGCAGGGTGGATAAAAATCAATGATTTTTTTAAAAAAATCAGATTTTTTTGATTTAAATCGGATTTTTTTGATTTAAATCGAATTTATTTTAATAAAAAACTTTGGGGGTAAAAATCTATCGTAAGATAGTTTTCTATTTAAGATACATCAATAATTTAGTTTATTCAGCATGAAATGGAGCTTAGTTATGTAGCATGAGGCTGTATATTCTGCAACCCTGGGACTATCGGTGAGTCAACAGCGGGTCAAAGGAGTAGCAGAGATGACAGTGGCTCTTTAAAAATTATGATTTAAATCGAGTTGATTTAAATCAAGCCTTTTTACTAGTGATTTAAATCATGATTTAAACTGTGATTTAAATCAACTCGATTTAAATCAAATCCACCCTGCTTCTGAGAGCCAAATTTTTTAAACTTAAACTATACAGGTAGGTACATTGTTATTAACTGAATTAGTTCTTTTTAACTACAATTAAAAAGTAGGGGAATGGGGATGCAACACGCAGAGGGCCAAGTCCGCTCCCGTTCATCTCCCCACATTTGTTTACCCGTCCCAGAGAGCTCGGGCTAAGCCTCCCTCCGACCCAGCCGCCTTCCTTGCTGGCGTCGCTCCTGAGCGAACTCTTCTGTCCTCGGCTGTTGCAAAGAAGTGGCAGCTCTGGGTGCGCCACGCCCGCTTCGTTCTCTTTGAGAACGGCTTTGCACCTTGTTTGCAAAGCAGCTCTCAAAGTGAAAGAAGCGGGCATGGCTCACCCAGAGCTGCCGTTTCTTTGCAACAGCCGAGGACTTCTTCCGCTTGGAGCTCCAGTCACAGTATGGTCACTGCCGCCATCTTCGTGCATGCACAGTTTTCTTCTCACCGGCTGAAAGACTTTTCAGACTTTTCGGTATTTTGTGGAAGAGCCACACTCAAGGGGCTAAAGAGCCGCATGTGGCTCGCGAGCCGTGGTTTGCCGACCACTGGGCTAGATATAACTAATTTCCCTGTTTTTATATGGTTTAGCCAATATCCCCCCAGCTTGGTATCGTTTGCAAATTTGATGTGCTCCCCTTCTATCCCTTCATCTAGACCAGTGGTGGCGAACCTGTGGCACGCGTGCCAGAGGTGGCACACAGAGCCCTCTCTGTGGGCACGTGCGCTGTCACCCCAGCTCTGTTTCGGGTCTCTGCCTCACATGCGTGCCTGCCTCCCGCCGGCCAGCTGGTCTTTGGGTCTCTGCCACACATGCATGGGGCGCGGCATATGTGCCGATGCCTTGCAGTTTGGGCGGGGCACGGCCGCATGCTTGGGGTGTGCGTGCAAGTGCAGGGCAGACGTGCGCATTATGGGCACTTGTTGCCTAAAAGGTTCGCCATCACTGATCTAAACCAGGGGTCAGTAACCCACGGCTCTGGAGCCACATGTGGCTCTTTCATCCCTCTGCTGCGGCTCCCTATCACTCAAAATATGCGTCACAATTGCCAATGTGCGACACCCATCGACGCGCAAATTATTAAGCTTTTCAATCCCCGGTAGGCCAAACATGGATAAATCCAAGAAAAGAAAAGTTTCAGAAGAAAACAGAATGTTTAATTCAACTATATATGCTAGTTTTGTGGCCCCTCAGGAAATAGTCAGGTACAGGAAGAGTTTTGTGGCTCCCAGTGTTTTCTTTTCTGTGGGAAACGGTCCAAATGGCTGAGTGTTTAAGGTTGCCGACCCCTGATCTAGACTATTTAGAAAGATGTTGAAGAGCACTGAGCCCAAGGCAGAACTTTCTAGTATCCCACTGCATGCTTCCCTCCCTCGACTTATGACCACAATGGAGCCCAAAATTGGGGCTAAGCGAGATAGTTGTTCACTAAATTTTGCCCCATTTTATGATCTTTCTTGTTACAGCTCTTAAGGGAATCACTGCAGTTGTTAAGTTAGTAACACGGTTGTTAAGTGAATCCCGCTTCCCCACTGTCAGACGGTCGCAAAAGGTGATCGCGTAATTCTGGGACACTGCAACTGGCATAATTATGAATCAGTTGCCAAGCTGATCCAAATTTTGATCATGTGCCCATGGGGACATTGCGACGGTCATAAGTGTGAAAAACAGTCACATGTCACTTTTTTCCAGTGATGTTGTAACTTTGAGTGGTCGCTAAATGAACTGTTGTAAGTTGAGGACTACCTGTACATGCTGGGTGCAGTGAATTCATTTGTGGTGGTACTGTCTATCCTACACTGTTCTACCTATCTTACCAAGAAGTAGGCTATGGTCTACTCCGAGGCTGTCAAACTCCCGGCCATTCAATGAATGAATGAATGAATGAATGAATGAATGTCAAGTTGATTACTACCTATCAACTACTTAGATCACGGCTGTCAAACACCCGGCCCATGGGCCAGATGAGTCACGTGCTGGCCACAGCCACGCCCGGTTTAGCAAAGGGGGAAAAAAGTCCCGATGCGTCACGTGATGACGCCATGAGTTTGACATCCCTCGTCTACTCTATCAAATTCCTTACTGAAATCAAAGTATACCATATCCACAGCATTTCCTTGATCCGCTAATTTAGTCCCTTTATTGTCAAAGAAGGCAATAAGGTTCGCCTGGCATGATCTGCTTTTAACACACCCATGCTGTATCACCCGGAAACAGAATAGAAACGATGGAGACCAGATTCACCAATCAAATTATCTGCCAGGCTGCAAAGAATTTTATCTACACGTCTGCTTGCTGGCATGCAGCCATACTTTAATGAATGGCACTCACAGAAACCTAGTGCCAATGAAGGATCAATGGAAGGATAACTACGAGCTAAATAATGGAACTGTTCAGGTCTGGATGCAAAGATAAAGCCGCCTTATTATGCTTTTTTGAAATTTAGGGTAAGTACTGTGCAAGTTTCAGACGTGCACCCATAAACCACTTGCCACTGAAGATAAAAGAAAAACAGTTTTGTATTTAAATCTTTAATTTTCCCCAAAATATCCAAAATACCGTGTTTCCCCGAAAATAAGACCTGGTCTGATATTAATTTTTGCTCCAAAAGACGCATTAGGGCTTATTTTTCTGGTTAGGTCTTATTTTGGGGGAAATATGGTGCTAAACGTATCCATTGGCTGACAATCTTAACTGGGGCTTATTTCGGGGGATAGGGTTTATATTACGAGCATCCTGAAAAAATCATGCTAGGATTTATTTTCCGGTTAGGTCTTATTTTTGGGGAAATACACTACTAAATGCACCTATCTGGCTAACAATCTTAACTGGGGCTTATTTTGGGGGTAGGGTTTATATTACGAGCATCCTGAAGAAATCATGCTAGAATTTATTTTCCAATTGGGTCCTATTTTCGGGGAAACAGAGTAGCAATAGAGCTTATAAGACTTATGTATGCTCCATAGTATATAAGCAATATACAAATATATTAAATACATTAAACAAGAGCAAACTAGGATATAGCAGCATGACATAAAACAGTACAAATTCAAGAATCAACCAAGATTAAAGGCCAGCATGGCATAATATAATACACGGTCCTGCCTCTCTTTTTTTAGTGCCGACATCTAGGGGCTATTGAGTTTGCTCTACATACATGAGGGGATGTGATAGGATTGGCAGATTTTTCATACAGGTAGTCCTTGACTTACAATCATTCGTTTACTGACTGTTCCAAGTTACAACAGCATTGAAAAATGTGACTTATGACTGTTTGTCACACTTACGACCACTGCAGCTTCCCTGTGAACAAAATTCGGACACTTGATGACTGGCATATATGACAGTGGAATGTCGTGGGGTGGGGTGGAGTGGTATGGATTAGAATCTAGAAGGGACCTTGGAGGTCTTCTAGTCCAACCCCTGCTTGAACGGAAGACCCTCTACGAGTGGTGAAATGTAAAATCTGTTACTACCGATTCTGTGGGTGTGGCTTGGTGGGGGGGTAATATGACTGGGTGGGCGTGACCAACTTTTTTTTTTTACTTTTACTTTTAAAAGCATTTTTTCTACAACCTCTTTGGCTGAAGAGGTTGTAGAAAAAATGCTTTTAAAAGCCTCTGATGATCCCAGCTGAGCCGCGCGATCATCAGAGGCTTTTTTTTTTACTTTTAAAAGCATTTTTTCAGCCGAAGAAAAAATGTTTTTAAAAGTAAAAAAAAAAAAAGCCTCTGATGATTCTGCAGCTCAGCTGGGCATGGAGGGGGGGGGCAGGGATTTTTGCTACCGGTTCTCCGAACCACCCGCCGCCATTGCTACCGGATCGGGCGATCCGGTCCGAACCAGGAGCATTTCACCCCTGCCCTCTACCATTTCAGATAAATGATTGTCCAGTCTCTTTTTGAAAGCCTCCAGTGATGGAGCATCCAAAACTTCTGAAGGCAAGTTGTCCCATTGGTTAATTGTTCTCACCGTTAGGAAATTTCTCCTAGGGCTAAGGTTGCTTCTCTCCTTGGTTAGTTTCCATCCATTGTTTCTCATCTTGCCTTTTGGTGCTTTGGAGAATAATGTGACCCCCTCTTCTTTGTGGCAGCCCCTCAAATACTGGAACACTGCTATCGTGTCCCCCCTAATTCTTTTCTTTAGACTAGCCAAACCTCTTCTGACAAGCAAAGTCAATGGGAAAGACAGATTCACTTCACTAACTTAATCATGGCAGCGATTCCCTTAACAGCTGTGGCGAAAAAAATGTCATAAAATGGACCTTAGACCCGCTTTAACAGCTGTCTGCTTAATAACAGAA